GCCTCCCTAGACGATGCGCGATTAGCGCAGAAAGGTAGTAGAGCCGCACCTGCGCCACTCGCGCCGCGCCACGCCCACCCTTTTGCCTCTATCCGTTTGGCAGAGTATGTGTCAGCGTTGAGAAGGGCAGCTTCGATGAGAGTCGCATCAATGCAGAAAACAACGGTCAGAGAGGGGTACCATTTCTCGGGGTTCTGGGCCGTTTCTCATCGTTTTTCTTTGTAGGTGCACCAGTGACCACTTATACCCGGATTTCTATTTATTATAGCTGTTCTACCACTTTGGTTGCCGCAAGTTCGAACAAGTCTGTGCTCCCTGCGAGGAAGAATCCCTTTGTCCCGACCAGAAAGTCACCGTCATCAAACAAGGCGAAAACGGAGGGCAATGGGATAAGCACCTGTCCCTCACGCAGGGTGACGTACAATCCTTGAGTCCTTCCTCCAGCATGCTTCCCTACTCCATGCTCATAAGTTTCAAAGGTAGCAAGTTTCAAAAGTACAGAACTTCTCTCAGTATCATGGAATTCCTTAAAGAAGTGCAGACTTATTTCACACAACTTCCCTTCTAGAAATTAGGAACGCGATCCTCCTCATCAATGTTGTTGAAGCGGCAAGCAGTGCTAACCTGGAATTTGTCACTTTTCCCGAAAAGACGGTTTAGCAAAAACGGCAGTGTCTGGAGAACAGTGAATTCCTGGACAAGAGCCTAGTATTCCATGCAGCGGGATTGTATTCTAAGTCCGTGCGCTGGCGCGCCAATCATTCCAATGACGATGGGGACTGCGGAAGCCGATCTAATAGATTCCTTGCATTGTTGCACATGAATCACATGGTACTCGTGGAAATGATGAAATATTCATGAATGGCTTCCGCACGGTTTTGCGATATCTGCTGTAGGAAAGTTAGATGAATGTTAGGTGAACTGAACTTACATTACTCATCTTCACTCCTCTGGAAAAATAGGCAGAAGACAGTGGTGTTATTTCAGTAATGTTCCTTCTATTTCTGAGCTTTCTGAGTTGGGAGTCTGTCAAAACATTTTCCTCCTTGTGACAGTTTTATCCACCCTATGACGCACCTACTGATGTACAGCTGCCATCCTTTATTCTAAAAGCTTATGTCGCGACTCTCCGCGACCCTTTGTTCGTAGACGTTCTTTGTTGCGACCACCCACATGTGAACCACATGTTGGGTGGTCGCGAGCCCTAGAGCACCGCCCAGAAGGGCATCGTCCTTAGCAACGCGGACCGAGGCGGTCGGTACATTTATCCAGCTTTCAATGTGCCTTCTTCAATAATATATAAAAACCACTGAACCATCTTTAAAAAAGGGAAGAACATTTCCCGTGGCAAGACCCAAAGTCTGCCACAAATTTTGGTGCATCGGCTAAACCGATAGTGTCCCGTCTCCATCGAGGCCTGGACCAACCAAAGAGAGCAAAAGCTCAATTTGCTGAGGAACAAAGTCAGCACTTCCCGCTTTTCGGTTAACCCCGTCAAAGCCTGGAAAAGGAAAGATTCAGTACAACGCTGAAGGGACTAAAATGTCGTTAACTTTCCACAGAAAACCAATTAAATTCAGTGCTAACACACTGGAAACATTGTTAGCAAAGTACCAACCGTACACTGAAGAAATCCTGCCTACTGGGGAGGACAGCACAAAATACGAAGAGTACTGTAGTGCAATTAACCTCATAATAGGAGGGATAAAAATCATAAAATCCAGCCAAGAACACCTTCAAAACTTGGTGGACAAGCTAGAAAAAGCATACGAAGAGTCCAAAACCAAAGGGAATAAAAAGGACCTCGTAAATGAAGTCGAAGAAATCGACCAGCAGTGCCAATTTAGCGAAAAAATAGCTAAAGCTAACGAAACAATCTTCGTTCTTCAGGCACGAATCAACGAATACCGAGACAAAGTGCATAAATTAGCCTTAAAACTCGGAATAGATCCGCATAAAAGCCACTTAAGCGCGACAAATATGCATGATAACAGTAAGAAAAAGGATAGTACCAGCGATGAATCAATCGATCCAGAACTTGCGCAATGGCTATCGGATGACGCCTCAGATAACTCTGCTGACAGAGAGGATATTGCTTGTCGCACTCTAAAGCCCAAGCAAATGAATTTGCCACGATTCTACGGGGACGAAGAAGAATTCCCTGAGTATTGGGCAATATTTGAAACCCTTGTTAATGACAATAAGGTATTGAATACAGTTGAGAAAATGCTCCTATTGAGGGATTCTCTCAGAGGAAGAGCCGAAACGGCAATAAAAGGAATACAGCTCATCCCACAAAACTACAAATGGATGACTGAAGAATTAAAAAAGAAATTCGGCAATAAACCGGCCAACAGGGCCAAAATTGTTCAAAAACTGATAGACATGCGAGCAGCAAATAACTCTGCCGAAAGTTGCATGACAGTATACGATAAAATCAGAATGCTGATCAACCAAATGGTTTCAGCAGGGCAAGATATTCGCGCCATACAAGACGCACTATGGACTGAAAAAATTTTGGAAAAATTCCCGTACAACATAGTAAAAAGCGTTCTTATAGCGATCCAAAATAGGGAAAACGTCACTGTTGACGATGTTATGAACGAAATAGAAAAAGAGATTACAGCGAAGAAATTCGTGGAAACTAGACTCAGAAATCGACCTAGATTTGAAGAGGTCAAAAAGAGGGAATCTCAACCACGAGAAGAGCCTAAGAAATCTATTCTTAAGAGCTGCATTTTTTGCAGTCAAACTTCACATCCTTCAGCGTACTGTAAAACAGTTACAGATATCCATGCCAAAAGAGGCATCGTAAAGGATAGAAAACTTTGCTGGAAATGTTTTTCTGGAAATCACACTAGTTTTGACTGTTCATGGTCTAATTGTCCACAATGTGGGCAACAGCATAACAAAAGTTTATGCGTTTCGGGTACAATACCCCCACAATCTAGAGATTCAAATCGATCAAATCGAACATCTGGGGGGAATAGATTGACCCCTCAACGTCCAACAACGGACAGTCGACCCCACAAAGAGCCGTGGCGCAACCAACAAAGCGATGTACGCCACAACTCAAATCAAGCCAATATACACACAACAAAGGGTGAAGCTGTAAAAGTGGAACAATATACCGACGAACATATGCAACGACGCAAGGAACAAATAGTTCTTATGACAGCGGTCGGTAACATCTGGAACTACAATACAAAGAAGTTTGAACAGTTACTGTTCTTCTTCGATTCAGGTGCCCAGAAAACAATAATCAAGGAGGACATTGCCGACAAATTCGGCCTCCCAATAACCAAGACTGAAACGTGCACAATGTCAGGAATCGGCGGGCACGTTGAGAAATTTGAAAGCAAGTTTGTCAATCTAAGAATAAGTGACGCATATGGGGAAGAGTTCAACCTTCAAATCCATACAAAACCTGTAATCACAAACGGTTTTCCGTCAGTCAAATTGACAGATTCGGACAAGGAGTTTCTTAGAAGAAAGGAAATTCACGTGTGCAATCCAAGAGTACGTGGGGAGCATCAAATACCTCACATACTTGTAGGATTAGACTACTACTACGAGCTCATTTTGGATAATGCTCCAACCGAGACTCCATCGGGATTACGCATCGCGAAAACAGTCTTCGGACCATCAATTCATGGCCGCGGCAGACTGGACAACAATTATGAGCGAGAGTCCGCAATAGAATACGGTCTAACAGCCGTTGTGGACAACGATGAGAGCAAAATTTTGCAAAACCTGTTCGAACTTGAAGGACTAGGTATATCTTCGGATGAAAACGATCAAGTGAACAAAGCAGAGAATTATCTCGCAACATTTTCGAGG